ATATGCTGAAATAAAATCTAAAAATTATTTTTAAAAAAGAAAAGAATTGTATGCGCCAAGATGTCAAAGCAGATATTCCAGATACAGGTTCTGATAGCACACACTAAGAGTAAAGGAAAAAAAGGCCAATCAGACCCCAAAGCCAGCCTGCCTGGCAGAGTTCCTGACCGTGCCTAGACACCGAGCAACTACCTACATGCTAGAAAGCCTTACGGATGTGACAGTGAAACCTTCTGTCCCTCTCACAGAAAGGCAATCTGGACTGGAGGGTCAGAAGTTGCTTAGGGAAACAAATAACCTCGAGTACCTGGGCAGTCAATATTCTGGGGTTTCAGCAAACCCATCCCTTAGGCCTGGAGCCTGGCTAGAGTTCCCAGAAATGGGGTTACACCATGATTTGGTCGCCCTCTAGTGGCCTGTCCATTCTGACGGTCAAGCCTCTCTAGCCAGTCCTTCCGGTACCTCTCTGGCTTGCCTGCCTTGGGACACTGGATGCCTTCAATTTTGTTCCTCTTCTCCCTCTGGCAAAAGGAATTGCCTACAGAGGTTGGATTCTTGGATTAAGGACAACATCTTTGTTGATAACACATCTACAACCTAGAAAATTCTAAGGTTAACCTGAAATACTGTAATTTTCTCTTGATATTTGCCAAGAAAAATTGTATCACTATTCAGGAGCAATAAGAAAAATGAAGTTAAGTGTAACATTCTGAGGCCAGAGATGTTAAAAGCAAATTTAGGAAAGTTGTCCTTTTTACAATGGAGCTTAATTTAAAAGCGAATAAATGATTCCCTGTGAGTTACTGGAAATTAAAAAAACAAAAATTGAGAGATGACTAATCAATCACCACAATGTATCATTTTTGACCAAAATGAATAAAACCAGAAATAAAAAACAGAAGAAAAAACTGAAACAAATCCAAACAAAGATGTGGGAAAATAAAACATTCTTGAACCTATTTTTCCTCAAGGATGCGAGGATGAAATTCTTTTGATATGTCGTTAGTATATCATGGCCAAGCCACGGCAAGTGATGGACAAATTCAAATCTAAGTCAGTTGTTCTCCATTAAAATCTCAGAGGGTTTTTGCAAATTATCCGTAAATTTTTGTTAAACTGGTGACTAGCAAATATCCTTGACCAACTAGGACAAAATGAATCTCCTCTTTGAGACAGAGTCTCACTTTGTTGCCCAGGCTAGAGTGAGTGCTGTGGTGTCAGCCTAGCTCACAGCAACTTCACACTCTTGGGCTCAAGTGATCCTTCTGCCTCAGCCTTCTGAGTAGCTGGGACTACAGGCATGCACCACCATGCCTGGCTAATTTTTTCTATACATATTAGTTGGCCAATTAATTTCTTTCTATTTATGGTAGAGACTGGGTCTCGTTTTTGCTCAGGCTGGTTTTGAACTCCTGACCTCGAGCAATCTGCCCGCCTCGGCCTCCCAGAGTGCTAGGATTACAGGCGTGAGCCACCACGCCCGGTCTGTCAAATGCTTTTTATGCGTTTATTAAGAGGATCATATCGTCTTTGTGTTTGCTTCTATGTATGTGGTGAATTACATTTGTATATGTTGTACCATCCCTGCATCTCTGGAATGGAGCCCACTTTTTCATGATGGATTATTTTTTGATAAACAAGTGAATCCTGTTGGCTAGGATTTTGATGAGAATTTTTGCATCTATATTCATAAGGGATATTGGTCTATAGTTTTCTTTTCTTGTTGCGTCTTTTTCTGGTTTCAGTATCAGGGTGGTGTTGGCTTTATAAAACGTGTTGGGGAAGATTCCTTCCTTCTCAACGTTGTGGAATAATTTCTGGAGCACAGGAATGAGTTCTTTGTATGTCTGGTAAAATTTGTGTGTGAAACCATCTGGTTCAGGACTTTTCTTTCTAGGAAGGCTTTTTGTTGCTGTTTCAATTTTGGTATTTGATATCAGTCTGTTCACGATTTCTATTTCTTCCTGATTGAGCCTAGGAAGGCTGTGTGTTTCTGAGAATTTGTCTATTTCCTCCACATTTTCCAGCGTATGGTCTAGAGGTTTTCATTGTATTCATGGATGATATTTTGTATTTGTGTGGTATCAGTCGTAATTTCTCTTTTTCATTCCTGATGGAGCTTATTAGAGTTTCTTTTCTTCTTCTCATTAATCTATGCAGAGGTGTGTCAACTTTGACCATGTTCGTGAGGGTTTTATGTCTGTTCTACATTTTGTTTCATTGTTCTAGTTGTCTGACTTTATGCCAGTAGCAAACTGCTTTGATTTCTTTACCTTTGTAACATGTCTTCAAATCAGAAAATGGGATGCCTCCAACATTATTTCTTTTTTCAAGATTGTTGTGTTCTTCATGGTACTTTGGCATTCCATATGATTTTTTAACTACTTTTTCTAAAAAATGTTACCTTGAGAATTTTAAAAAGATGGCATTGAATTTATAGGTCACTTTGGGCAGTAGGGACATCTTAAAAATAGTAAGAGCATTTCAAACTTTGAAGAGCATTCTCAAGACTACATCATTTAGTTTCCATTTACTTATGGATATTCTGTTTTTCCATCTGTTCTTGATTTCTAGTTTTATTCCATTTTAGTCACAGATAAATGTCTGTAATAGTTTAATTTTTAAAAAATATGTAGAGAAACATATTGTGGCCTAACACTTATTCTATCCAGGAGAAAGATTTTTGAGCTATTTGTAAGATTTTGTATTCTGTTGTTGCATGGAGTGCTATCTATATGTCTATTAGGCATAATTATTTTATAGTGCTTTCAAGTTCTCTGTTTCCTCATTTAATATTGTGTCTTGAATTATTATTCACTACCAAAAGTGGGGGATTGCCGGATCCTACCGTTATGACATAGCTATGTATTTCTAGCTTTAATTCTGTCAATGTTTGCTTCACATGTTTGGCAACCTTTATTTTATACACACACACAAATATATAGAAATGTTAAAATAAATCATAGGTTTCCAGTGAATGAAACTTTTTATTATTATTTAATATCATTCTTTTTCTTTTGTGACAGTTTTGATGTAAACTGTATGAAATAAGACAAGTTTCGACTCAAAATATATTGTGCCTAATTTTGACCCCCCGTTCTCATTCGATCAACATTTGCATGGAATGTCGTTTTCTGTCCTGCCAATTTTATTCTGTATTTTCTCAGTTGATGGAAGGTGAATCTCTTGCAGACAGTATATAGTTGAATGTTTTTATTAGTATTTTCTTAAATCCGTATCTTTATTCAATATGTCTTTTGATTGTGAAGTTTACTCCATGAAGATTCACATAATTTTCTGAAAGGGAAGGAGTTACTCTTGCTATTTTATCAATCATATTTTTATTGTAGCTGTCTTGCTCCTTTTTCTCTTTTCTTCTTTCTGTCTCATTGTTTTGTGTAGTAACATACTTTGACTCCTTTATAATTGTTTTAGTGTATCACAATAGGTATTTTCATTATGGTTATCATGATGACAGCACAGTGCTTCTTATAGTTACAGCAATATATTTTGAAATGTTAACAACTGAAATTTAGTGGCATACCAAAATTTTTCCTCATTACATCTGCCATCATCTTTGTTATTGATGTCACCAGTTATATCTTGTTATATTGTATACCCATTAACAGAGGTGTGGTGTTATTTTTCTGATTTTGTCTTCAAATTCTAGATGATGAATAAAAATGTTTTATCTACCGTCATTATGATACTAGAGAATTTTACTTAGATATACTTCCATGTTTTCCCATAGAGTTATTTGGTTTCATATAACTGTGTTGTTTTCTAGCATCATTTTATTTTTAATGCAAGGGGCTCCCTTTGGAATTTCTTGTGTGTAATAAACCTTTTCTGTATGTAATTATGTTGTGAAATATTTAATTTTCTTGATTGTCCTTCTAGGACAGTTTTGAAGGTTTCATTTTTTAGCAATTTGACTATATCACCCAACTGTTTTCTGGCATGCAAGTTTTCTGTTGATAAATCTACTAGTAATCTCTAAGAAGCATATTTATATAGATAACATGTATTTTCTCCTGCTGCCTTCAAGATTCCTTTGTTGTGTGTGACTTTCAGAACTTTGCATATATCTGTCCCTTGTGGGTCCTTTGGTGTTTTTCCTAACTGAAGTATGTTGAGCTTGTCAATATGTTTATGTATTTATTCTTTGCTTTGAGAATTTCTCAATCATTTGTTATTGTATGCATCAGCTGAGTAGTGTATGTTCTCTTCTTCTTTGTTTTGTTGTTATTATCATTTTCCTGATTTCATTTAGTGCTCAGTATTGTTCTGATTTCACACATTAAGCAGCATTAAGATGGTTATTTTTAATTTTTTCAGGTAATTTATAATCTCCAATACTTCATAGTTGATTTCTTATTATTTTGTTTCTTTGATTGGGATATGTTAGCCTGACATTTTTTACATATTGTATTCTTGGTTGAGATATTAGAATTAACAAAATCAGCTTTCAAAAACTTCATTAAGTGACTTTGTCCTGGGGACTCTGCTATCAATTCACTATACTGGAGATTGAAGAAGCCTCAAAAATCTGTTCTGAAGATGTTTCTTTTGTGACAATTTTTGTTTGTTTTCCATTGAAAGTAACTTTCCCAGATTTCTTTGTATGAGCCTGTGATCATATCCAATAACTCTTCTACATCTGTAGTACTGAAATCTCCCTCCTGCTGTAATAATCTTTTACCTTTGGTTTCAGCACACTCCGTCTTTCAAATAATAGAATGATTCTTTTCAGAACTCTGTGTTATGTGAAACAGAAACCAGTCTTTAGAAGGGATCCTAAGAGCTAGAAATATAGCCAACATTTTTGTTCTCTTTTGAGAGAGAAGCTGAGGTTTGGGAATATACTTCTATGTGTACCATGCTGTACTAAGAAGGAGGAATGGCCATGGAGGGTAAATATAACAAATTTTCTTTTTCTTTCCTATTGCTTTTGGCTTTGTCCTCACCTACTATTCTGTGAACTGTTCTGTCGTTATTAGAATTCCCACAACGGCAATTTGGTAAGTATAACTTTTTATATTTATTTATCTAAAAGAGGATTCAAGCCTGTGTATCGTATCATGCCATCTTGCTAATGTGCTTGATGTAATGTTACATATTAAATTTATAATATTTATCTGATTATGAAAAAATATGAAAGGGATATAATTTGTTACTTTCAATATTTCTTTCAGCTGTGGCTTCCCATTCTACCCAACACTATTTGCCAGAGCAGCATGTAAAATATTTATTCCCAAAAGTGATACCAAGAAGATATGGAAGCTGTGCCCTTGAGAATGTACAATTAAAGAAAGACTGGGAAACTGTGGGTGAGTGTAAGGAGCAGAAAGGATGCCATAATGAACATAACCAATGTTTAATGACTACGCATAACAAAATCTTCCAGTGTAACGAATGTTTGAATGTCTTCAGGAAATCTTCAAATTTAAATAGACTTAAGTTGAGAGATACTGTAGAAAAATTTTTTAAATGTAAAGAATGTGGGAAAGCCTCTAACCAATGCTCACACATTTCTGAAAATAAAATAATTTCTAATGCAAAGGAATATTATAAATTGAAAGAATGTGGCAAAGTCTTTAATCAGTGCTTATACATTACTAAACATAAGAGAACTCATCCTGGAGAGAAAAAATACACATGTGAGGAATGTGGCAAAGTTTTTAAGTGGTCCTCACACTTTACTGTACATAAGAGAATTCATATGGGAGAGAAGCCTTACAAATGTGAGGAATGTGGCAAAGCTTTTATCCATTACTCAAAACTTAAAGAACATAAGAGAATACATACTGGAGAGAAACCATACAAATGTGAAGAATGTGGCAAAGCCTTTAGCAGTTGCTCAAAACTTAAAAGACATAAGAGAATTCATACTGGAGAGAAACCATACAAATGTGAAGAATGTAGCAAAGCCTTTACCTTGCTCAACACTTAAAGACATAAGAGAATGCATACTGGAGGAGAACCACACAAATGTGAAGAATGTGGCAAAGCCTTTAGCCGTTGCTCAACACTTAAAAGACATAAGAGAATGCATACTGGAGAGAAACCACACAAATGTGAAGAATGTGGCAAAGCCTTTAGCTATTGCTCAACAACTTAAATACACAAGAGAATGCATACTGGAGAAACACACAAATGTGAAGAATGTGGCAAAGCATTTAGCTGTTCCTCACCACACTTTACGTAGCATAAGAGAATTCATATGGGAGAGAAGCCTTACAAATGTGAGGAATGTGGCAAAGCTTTTATCCATTACTCAAAACTTAAAGAACATAAGACAATACATACTGGAGAGAAACCGTACAAATGTGAAGAATGTGGCAAAGCGTTTAACTGGTCCTCACACTTTACTGTACATAAGAGAATTCATACTGGAGAGAAACCATACAAATGTGAAGAATGTGGCAAAGCCTTTAGCCGTTGCTCAAAACTTAAAATACATAAGAGAATGCATACTGGAGAGAAACCATACAAATGTGAAGAATGTGGCAAAGCTTTTAGCTGTTGCTCAAAACTTAAAAGACATATGAGAATACATACTGGAGAGAAACCATTCAAATGTGAAGAATGTGGCAAAGCATTTAACAGGTCTTCACAACTTAAAGGTCATAACATAATTCATACTGGAGAGAAACCCTACGAATGTGAAGATTGTGGCAAAGCATTTACCTATTGCTCACGACTTAAAGCACATAAGAAAATGCATACTGGAGAGAAACCATACAAATTTGAAGAATGTGGCAAAGCCTTTAACTGGTCCTCACACTTTATTGTACACAAGAATATACATAATGGAGAGAAACCATTCAAATGTTGAGAATGTGGCAAAGCATTTAACTGGTTCTCACACTTCATCGCACATAAAAGAAGTCATACTGGAGAGAAAGTGTACAAATGTGAAGGATGTGGCAAAACCTTTAAACAGTCCTCAAGCCTCATTACACATAGGAGAATTCATACTGGAGAGAAACCGTTCAAGTGTCAAGAATGGCAAAGCATTTAACTGGTCTTCACAACTTAAAAGTCATAAGATATTTCATACTGGAGAGAAACCCTACAAATTTTAAGAATGTGGCAAAACTTTTAGCTGTTTCTCACAACTTAAAACACATAAGAGAATTTATACTGGAGAGGAACCATACAGATGTGAAGAATGTGACAAAGCCTTTCACCTTTGCTCACATCTTAAAAGATGTAAGAGAATTCATATTGAAGAGTAACTGTAGAAATGGGAAGAATTTGTAAAAGCCTTTAACGAGTACTCACACCGTTCCATACTGAAGTTAAGTCCTACAGATGAGAACAATGTGGTAAAGCATTTAATCAGTGTTCATATCCTACTAAGCAAAAAGAATTTACACTAGACAGAAACCATGCAAATGTAAATACTGTAGTAAACTTTTGTCTTATGCTCAAAACGGTCTATACATGAGGGAATTCAACCAGTGAAAAACCTTACAAATGGGAACAATGTGGCTAGGTCTGTATCCAGTACTCACACTTTTTTGTATATAAGATAATTCTTATTGGAGAGAAACCCTATAAATGTGAAGAATGTGGCAAAATCTTTAACCACTGTTCAAACCTTATGAAAGTGAAAAATGTGGCAAATACTTTGCATAGTGCTTCTACTTTAGTATATGTGAGAGAATTCATGCACAAACAAAATCCTACGGATGTAAATAAAGTAGGGTAGCCTTTAATAACTGATTACATATTACTCAACACCAGAGAGTTATACTGGGTAACTGATAGAAATGTAGCAAGTGTCCAGACACCTTTCAGAACATAAAAATCTGAGTATCAGAGATACTCAGAACATAAAAATCTGAGTATCAGTGTATCAGAGAATTTATACTAAAAAAAATTACAAATACAAAGAGTGGCATAATACCTTTACTTTTATCACAGATTGTATTGTGCATAAGATAATTTATAGTAGGGGGAATCCTCCATTGATTGCTCAAACTTTATTTAAATCAAGAAGATTTTGATTGGAGAGATACTGTATGAATGTAATGAATTCTGAAAAACCTTTGTTCACTAACACAGCTTTGAAAACATCCGAGGTTATATGAAAAGATATTCTACGTATTCTATAATTTGAAAAAAATATTTAATTAAAAAGTCATGTTTGAATAACACCAGAAGACTCACAGTAGAAATAACTAAGATGCTAATACTTTCAGAGATTAATGTAGGATTTTGCTTATAGAGAATGCAAACTTAAATAGTTTAATAATTTATGTGTATGTTTAAAAACAGCAGGAGATTGGGGTTTTTTAGAGTTATAATTACATTTAGAGTATACTTTTTGCATTAAAATTTTATGGTTTTTTTTGGAAAATCAAATATCAAGGTAATTCAATTTTAAATTTTTGTATGCTATGCCATGACTCCTAGTGTTTTTTAAGAAAGAATGTGGTGAATCGTTGCTGCATCAAAGATATGTATGGTCTTTCTAAATTAGGTGGGCATCATTCATGTGCTCTTACAATGAACATTAAAGACACTAAAATGTAAGATGCTTGAATAAAATGAAGAAACTCTTTCTGATTAACTTGTAAGTGCATGGCAGGTGATATTGGCAGTAGTTGTACATAGTAATATTCTTCTTTATTATTATAGTTACAGACATTTGAGATATTAGAATTAAATTGTTTTTTCAGTTGCATACTTTGGTAATAAAATACATTAGATGTTGAAGCGAGATTTTAAAGACTATGTGTGAACTTAATTTTTTAAATAAATTGTGTTTAATGTGTTGAGCATTGTACATTGAATAAAGTGTTATACTGCCACTAACACTACGCTGTCCCACCTTATTCAAAGTTGTAGATAACAGATGGTAACAATATACTATTGGGTATCATCATGTAATAACATTTTTAGTGACCTTTATTCCAATAGGCTTTAAACTTCAAATATTTTGAAAAATATTTCCATAGGTTATACTTTTATTCTTTGTGTCACTAAAATGCCATAGAAGTGCATATATTTCTGAATCCTGAATGACAATTTACAAGATTTCATAACACATTTTCCTTTGAACATGTGACCTCTCTGGCCCGTAAAACATAAACATACTTTTCTTTTTTATTTCCAATGAGTCAAATATAGAATTATATCACTCTAAAGATAAATTTTAGTTGTAAGAGGTTTATGGAGAAAGTAACTGTGTTTATGTTACTGTCTATCTATTTTGAGGAGAAAAAAGATGCATTGAAAAAAACAGATAATTCCAAAAGAGTTGATAATCTGCTAGTAATGTAGAAATCTCAAAAATTCTGAAAATAAGTGCATATTCTCCTTTTTGTATTGAATTCCACTCTCTAAATCCTTATGGCTCCTGATTCAGAAAATTCCATACTTTTAATTGTCATTGACTCATGCTAGACCTAAGACATAATTTTTTCCTTTAAAAATTCATGAAGTATTCTTTATATGGCATGCTCAGATATTAGAAGAATAAATTTTGAGATGTGGTGCTCACAAAATAATTTGAAGAGATGATCAATTCCACAGTGGGTGCATTATGTAAAATTGTGTAAATTTTTACATTCCAGTTTTTCCTCTCAATTGGAGAATCCTCTAATTTTTCCCTAATTTATTTCCCTTAGTGTATAGGAATGGACATAACTGAATTGGTTGACTTTGTTGGGACAGTTGGTTTCGGTAAACCTAGGGAAGCTTCATAAGTAATGGTTTGTTTTGATATACGAAGTGGACAAACACAAGACAGCTCTTGGAATGTAAAGGATTTTTCATAATTAGCAGTAAGTATTCCTGGAGGAATGATAGAGTATTATATGGCTCCATGTTGGGGGCTGATTCTGGTGTTATGCCTTATACTAATCATTCACTACAGCCTGTAATGTACGTGTGCTGTCTCACGCAGCACACGCAGCAGTAGTCAGCATTTTCTTCAGACACGGCTGCTACCTTGTGACTTGATAAGAGGCCTGAGTTGTTGCACATAAGCAAATGCTCCCAACTCCCACACGGAGGGCCCTGTGGTGGGAGTCTGGAGGCCATGAGAACAAGAACAAGAAATTTCCCAAGAACTGGCCCCTGATTGGTGGTTGGTAGTCAAGGACGGGTAAGACTCCCCCTGGAGGGGGTGACCTAAAACAAGCACAACTGTGGGGGCCAGGGAGGAAATGGCTGCATTGTTTTATGTTGCCTGTCTTGGCCTTGGCTTTTGAGCTCTGGCACCTGAACTTTAGTAACCCCTTTGAGGTCTGAGACCGTGGGAAATTGTTCTCTTTTGAAACATCTCCAGAATTGACTGATATCGCTGCTGTGCTCAGATGCTCACGTACAAGGAACTAACCTTGGGTCTGGAGGGTATAAAAATAAAGCGACCGGTATATTGGTCATTCGAGTCATTGTCATGTCCATGAGTGTCTGTGTCATTATTTTGTGTTCTGTGTCGTCCCCCGTCCTGTAATTGGGCCACATTAAGTGGCACAGCAAGCAGGGTCTCAAGCCCTGGAGGATCTTGAATCCTGTACTAGGACTGTGTCATTTCAGGTGAGGGGACCAAGAGGATTACCCCTTTGGCTAATGGTAAGTGGCATCTGAGAGGGGACTCTTGGGAAAAAGAGCAGGGTCTTGAACCCTGGGGGGGTCTTGAACCCCATACTTAGCAGGGTCTGGAACCCTGGGGTGTCTTAAACCCAGAACTGAGCAGAGTCTGCAACCCTGGGTGTCTTGAACCCTGTACTGAGCAGGGTTTGGAACCCTGGGGGGTCTTGAACCCCGTATAAAGGACTGGACCCTAAAGCATTTATTGGCTTTAGTGCAAAAACATTGTAATTGGTTTCAATTTCAATCGCAAGTTCAGCTAAATTTACATAGCTGGCAGCAAGTTGTTAAAGCCTTGCATGTAGTTCTTCAGCAAGGAGATATTATTTATTTAAAATTTAGTTAGTTTGTAATGTTATTACTCAGCCTCTCTCTCTCTCCTACGGTCAGACTCAGAGAGGGGCGATTATAATGAGGAAAATAATAAAAACCCTCTGAGATCTCGACCTCTTTCCCCAAGTAAAGATGATGGGGAAGAGTCCTCAGGAGAGGAAAGAGTGGTAATCCCTCTTCTGATGTTAAGTTACAAGAGCTCATTCAATCAGAAGAGCAAGAGTTAATCCCTTTGTTTGCAAAGAGTACGATGGCTGTAGTGGCAGAGCTGTTTTCTTTTTCCGCCCCTCCCTGGCCCACCGGTGCTGCTGGCGCTCCTCTGTCTAACATCTGCTTGACATCCCAGCATGTCGTTGCCTTTACTGCTGCCTCAGACTTGCCCGTGATTTTCTTACTATACTCCAGGTGATCCCCTAGGTGCTCCAGGGCTAACAGAGGACAAGCTTATAGGCTCAAAACAATATAAAACCTTAAAAGCCTAAGCAAGAGCTAGAGGCACAGCCCTAGCCAAAATAGCTCAACTGGAAGGGCATTAGACTAAAGATCTGAAGGTCCGTGGTTTGATCCTGGGGATACTACTTTAGTGCAAACTAAGTCTATTTTAATCCATGCTTGGAGGCACATTGAAACTTCTGGCACTTTGGGACCAGCCTTTTCAAAAACTATGCTAGGGCCTACTGAGCCATATACTGATTTTTTCTCTCACCTTGAAGAGGCAGTTCAGAGGAGCGTTAGTTCCACAGAGGCTGCTACTATTGTCATACAATCTTTGGCTATGAAAAACGCTAATCCTGTCAGAAAATTTTTCGCCTGCTAGAGGCCTGTGGCGCTACTCTTGATGAATATGGTAAGAGCCTGTGCCAGTGTGGGGGGCATTGCCTACCACGTCACTAAGAGACTTTTAGAAGCACACTATGATCAACTCTTCTCTTCTGACAGTAACTTTGCTAAATTTCAGCCTAGAATATCATGCATTGTGATGCTTTATTCAATGCTATACCTCATACTTTTCTTTTTCTAAGAATCCAGGATTTCACAGGATACTAGTATATATGGAAAACAAGCAAGTTTATATTTTTGGACAGGGAAGTATGTACAAAAAACTATTTTAACAATCCAATGCTCCCATCAAGCAAATGATCATATGTACAATTTGTTCTACCTTATTTCATCTCATGGTTTTTAATGTGCTTCTATAATACAGGTTAATATTAAAGATAATTATTTATGACTTTGTGCAATGTTAAATTTTTTAAAGCTATCAACTTCTTAAAGTTCATTCTAAGTTGCATATTATAATGGTCTCAAATGTTATTTTACCTGCCCAACAAATATTTCTTTTCAAGATGATTTCATAAATCATTTGACCTACCTAATTGCTAAATAATATATGGGCGAACTGTTACTGACAGTACTTGTTTTAAAAGTCATACTTATTCAAGGCAATAAAAACATTTTTTTCCACTAAGGTATTTTCTTTCAGGTAGTTTGAGATAGCAGTAAATCTTAATCTATTTTAAGTAATATATGTAAGACTTAAAAATAAATGTTTTATTATTTCTTATATAAAGTGTTAAATTAATTGATACCAGATGCCACTTGTAATTTTAAAAAGTGAGAGAGCAAATGGACTATAACGATATAGGAGTATTATATATACACACAAATGTAATATAAATATAGTTTGTGTGTATAACTTATACGCATGCAACATACAAATGTATAACATATGTAGGTGTGTAATGCTATTTGCATATAATTACAATGCATGCATATATGTTAATCTATGTAAAATGTTTATGTATCATATGTATACTACAACTAATTATAATCTATAGTATCCATTATATGCTATATAATATATATATAAATATATGATCATACATCATATATAAATGTAAAATATAAACAAATTATATATATAATAACATTATAAAATTGTGTACATTGTGTGATGCACAATTAAAAACACTCAATAACTTTTAAAAGCTCCTTAGAGATATAAATTGGCTGCAACCATCATTAGGTATACCTACTTATGCTTTCCAACATTTATTTGCTACATTAGAGGGAAGCTCAGCTCTCATCAGCCCTCACTCCCCTACCCCACAAGCGGAGCAAGAGTTACAGCTTGTGGAGCAAGGACTTAGCTCTGGATTTCTTACCTCTCTTTGGCCTTCCTGTCCAATTGTTCTCTACCTTTTTCATACATATCTTTCTCCAATGGTTGCCTGGGCCAAGATGCTAGCATCCTTAAATGGTTGTTTTTAGCAAATAATTAGAAAAACTTAAACTTGCTCATTTAATCATCAGGGGTTGATGACGAAGTCGTCAGTTGTCTGGATGAGATCCTGATAAAATAGTTACAAATTTGAGTTCCAAAGACATTCAAACTTACCTAGAGCTTTCTTCTGCCTGGGAAGTAGCTTGTGCTGATTATGTTAAAACATTTGATGACCTTTTTATGCTATTTGTTTGGTTTTCCAAGATTTTCCCAGTGAGCCTTTTAATACTGTTAGTGACTCTCAATATGCTCTTTGTTACCTCCCAATTACCTACGGCCTCATTACCACTTCATCCTTCTACAATGTTGCAGCAGTTGTTTTTACACCTCCAGACTCTTCTTCTCAAACGACATTTTCCTATTTATCTGGTACATATTTGCTCGCATTCTGGACTGCCCGGTCCCTTATCACAAGGCAATGCTAACATTGATTCTTTACTTATAGCTTCAATTACAAAAACAAAAAGGGGGAGTCAAGGAATCTCCTCATTGACATTTGGCGATGGTATCCTCAGCAAGACACCGCTTGAGAAGAGAATGCCGTGCCAAAAACAGAGAAAGAAGAAGCAGGCGGTAACACTAGCAGTCTGGTTGATCTGTAACCTTTCTATTCTTCTGCTTATTTTTTGCTCCCCTGCTGTTGGACAGACTAATTCAGCTAATGCTCAGTATGTATATTGGGTTTATGTCCCTTATCCTCCTCTTTTTAAGGCAGTGTCTTGGGGAGAGCCTAAAGTCCTCGTCTGTACTAATAATTCAAAATGGATGCCACCCCCATTTCCATATCAGTAACCGCATCCTAAGGACAAAGGGAGGGTAGTTTGCAATTATTCCACTTATGATCGAGGTTATCCTATATGTTTTGGAGTGAGAAAACACTGCTTGGCACCTTCCGTGCAAGCATGGGGTTTGCAATATAATTCCTCCTCATTTGCTACCTGCACTACATTATTATCCATAAAATATTTTAAGGGGTAATGTCTAATTTGACTAAAAGACCAAAACAGCAAAAACATATTTAAAAACTCTCTGCCTCAGGTGGAGACCTTAAAATTTAGATTAAAAATATGTCCTCAAGTGATAATGAAAAAGCTAAAGTAAATCTTCACCACCACCCTCTAGGTCTTTACTAGTGTGTGTTTCTTATCTTTACCTTTTGCTAATGGAAACTGCTTATTAAAATCAGTCTACAGAAAAGTTGACTTGCCCTGATAATTGTGCCCTATTTACTTGTGTAAATTTTACTTCATGGGTTACTTTTAACAAATCTTTACATAGTTTATACATCCTCAAGGCTCGTACAGAGATATGGTTGCCCATTAGCCTTTCACGGCCTTGGGGAGACTCTGTTTTGGTTACTACTTTATTAAATAAAATAACTTCCTTGGCTCACAAAACAAAAAGAGTCATTGGTCTGATAGTCATGGCAGCAGTAGGCTTAATAGCTATTGTTTCCTCAGCCACTGTTGCTGGAGTAACTTTACATCATTCTGTACAAACTGCTGATTTGTTCAAAAATGGAATAAAGATTCTCATAAATTATGGCAACATCAGCAGGAGATTGACTTCTGCCTAGAAGGCAAAGTCATTCAGCTAAAAAGCACTGCAATGGTTGGGAGACCAAATTCAGGTGCTGACTACTTAGTCTTTTTTACATTGTGACGAATTCCCCTTGGTTCTGTGTAACTTCCATTCCTTTTAATAGTAGCCGACACTGGATGTCATTAAGAAAATTGTTGATTGGAAGTCTAAATATTACTAAAGATATCCAAAGTTTAGAGCAAGAAATCACTCAACGTTTCAGAAAAGATTACCTGATAATGATGAATTTTTCTCTGGTTTGGCTAATGGACTATCCCAAGTTTATCCCCTTGCTTCACTTAAAACTATGCTTCGTAGAATTGGTGGGAATCTGGTTGTCTTTTTGCTGCTGTTGTGACTCTTGTTCTTAATTCATAGGTGCTGGAAGACCAAGGAGAAGATGCAGCACAAAAAGGCAGCAAGACATCATGACTGTTTTTCAACATGTTCATCGTTTTTTATTATGGTGTTCTGTGGATAACACTGTTTTGAGTACTTCTTGTAGGGCTGGTCTTGTCTTGGTGAATTCTCTGAGACTTTGCTTGTCTGAGAATGTCTTTATTTCTCCTTCATATATGAAGCTTAGTTTTGTAGGGAATAAGAT